CTGGCCCGCCTTCACTTAGGGCGGGCACTAGGCTTGCTGGGGCCTTAGCCCAGAACATGTACATCATGGCGAGGTCCCTACTTGAGGGCTCAATCCTCACACATCCAGGTGCAGGTGGCTAATCCATCCCTCCTTGCCAGAGGGGACCTGGCCCCAGGTCTCATCACCTATGATCTGAATATAACCCAATTTCTGTCGAATTCCACACCGAGCATGTGTGCTACATTCCCGCTCCAGCAATGCCATAAATAGAGACGTGTTTTTTTTTTTTTTTTGTTGGCAAGAATACAGAGACCCGGGACTGAGAAGAGAAAAACCCACAGCCCTACGAAAACAACAAGCAGTAATCCATGAGTTATAGATTGTAACAATGGGACGCTGGACCCGGTTTCCAGCAAGTGCCGCTCCCCACCAATAGATGGAGCAGCCCGCCAGAGAGAACCTCAATCCCAACGGTTATCTTACCACTGCCAGGGGTCTGGTCCCACCCACAGTGTTGAGTTTTCTCAACGCTGAGCTGTCTATCACGTGTGGCATGGTGGGACGGAGCTCTGCCGTTGATGTATTGTGAATCTAACGGTATCAAAATACAGGAGAATAACCTATTAGATTTAGTCATTTTGTAGAATTTTTTTTTGACGTAAAATCCGTTTTGTAGTATGCGTTGGCCCTTTTGATTTGGGCGGGAAGCCATTTTACATTGAGAAAACTACCCTACTAAGGGTAGGGTACATTTCTCAACGGCAGTGCCTTTCCTTTTTTTTGTTTTTTTAGACCTTATTGCATCCTGAAACGGAGGAACTCTGACAGCTGTGTTTGGCTGTCTGGCATCAAACTCGTTTCCTTCTTTGGACAATGAATGCATTTGGCCATCCACGTCGTCCCTGTCCATTTTACAAATGGTGACCTCCTGTACCCTCACTACGGGGAGCATCCCTTTTTCACGGAGACTTTCACTCCGACTGTTCCAGACATGTTTCATTTCTCTGAGTTACGTTATAAAAAATAAGGAGAAGAGCTGTTTCTAGCGTTTTTTTCAGTTTTTTAATTTCTTGTTTTGAATTTATTAATGTCGAAATGGCGTCACACCGTTGAGTTTTCTAAACTCAACAACGTTAGGTGGGACCAGACCCCAGGATAGAGGACTTTCACAAGAGATATTCATGGGGAGGGAAAACTGTGGTAGAAGTTATTCCCTCTCTCTCTTTCTGTCACTCATGTCACCCCGTCCGCTCGTGCGCATGAGAGAGAGAGAGAGAGAGAGAGAGAGAGAGAGAGAGAGAGAGAGAGAGAGGGCAGGCAAAGTGTTTTCAGCAGATGTTTTTTTAGACCAATAGAGGGACCCAAAGAAATGAATTTTAATTCACACAATTAAAATTTTTAAAAAAAGATATGTCAAACTTATCCAGATGACAGTTCCTAAATTAAAACACCTGAGGTTAAGGATACAGCCCAATAGGTGGTGAGAAAACCTCTCAGCGTAAGTTCTTATGTAGTGGATGGCTGCAATCTATTGGTGGAAAAGCAGCATCTGCTGGAAACCGACCACCTGCTGGAAATCGGGTCGTGCATCCCATTCCGTACATCAAGAGGACTGTACGAGATGTTTCCAGCAGCTGATGCTCCCCGCCAATAAATGGAGCCATTTTTTTTTCAAAGATCTTTGTCACACATCTCTTCCCCTAGGCTGACCGTCCTGTCTGATTGTTTCAGTTTCGTCTGTTTTCCAGGAACACGCCTCTTCCTCTATGTCTATTGCGACCTGATGCTTTGGGTAATAACCTAGGTGGTATCCAGTGTTATGTCATCATCCCACCACAAGTGCATCTCCCTACCCATACCACGATCATTCCACCATGCTGTTCTGTCCACTGGAGGGAAGGTGTCCATGAAGTCTGGAGCTGGTCTCCTTGGGAACGACAAGTCAATGTGGGCCCCTTCGACAAGACACAGATGAACCCCTTGAGATTAAGGCACACCCCTTTACATTGATTCTTGCAAATCATCTCGACTCTCGGTTGTTCGGCCAGTCTTCACAGAACCTAGTAATCTTCAAGTGCTTATATCTGGACTCGCTTACCTGTTTTATCAACTTTTATGTAATCCACTGTACAATGCCTCTCACCAAAATGTTTGTTTGGAAAAACTTTAATGTAATTCATTATATCTGCCTTGTATTTCCTAGTCCTGTTGTCCATTTTCCCATTGGTCGGCGCGTCGGGATGTCCACGTCCGCCACATCCGCGCCTTTCTTCCCAACCAGAAGCACTTGCCTGCATATCACCCCCCTCCTTTGCTTCTGATTGGCCTAGCATGATGCCCGTCCAGTCCCGTGGCCATAGCTCCACTGTCAGCCACCTCCACACCCAACCACATCCAACCACACCATCTCCATCACAAGAGCACCAGTGGGTAGGAGAGGAAAAGATGCTGCAATGTCTCTCTGGACCATCTCTTCATCATCTCCATAACAAAACTGCCCCTGGCCAGGACAGCATCTCTTCGTCTCCATAACCAGACCACCTGTGAGAGTAGGTTGCCTCCGATCTTGTCAGTGGGACGCTGGACCCGGTTTCCAGCAGGTGATGCTCCCCACCAATAAGTTGGAGCCATCTATAATCTGGCCTTTGCTATTGGAGGATGCTCGTATCACCTCCTATAGCAGGTTGCCACAGATGTTTACTGGAAAAAAAAAACAAAAACAAGAGAGTAGGTTGTTATATGGAATTTGCCCCATAGTAGGCGAAGACCATTTGGGTCCAGCAAAGGAGGAATCCTCTATGAGCCAGTCCCTTGTTGGAAGGCATGTAGGTGCAGTCTGCAATTGCAGAGAGAGTGTAGCCAGCAAAAAAATGGATCCCTGCGATGCACTCCCTCACGCCCAGTG